ATCTNTTATTATGGGTAATATTTATCCATAACGGAGTACCAAAAGGATAAGCTTCTTCAGGAGGCTTATTTCCAATAGAGTACTAAATAGATAAATATATTTATGGCGGAGTCTCATATGGATAAACTTCTTTAGGAAGCTTATTTACAACGGAGTATTAAATGAACATCCATAATATAATATATTCATAACACTTATTAATTAATATAAAAAAGGAATTTTTTTTGGGGTGGGGTGGGGGGTCGGGGAGTGAAACAAAGCACATGTTAATTTGGTCAGCTATGGAGAATGGAGTGTCAAGAGAAATAAGCAAAACTCACACGCAATTTCCCTTTAGTTGCGTTTATTTAATTTTCTTAGCTTACCTAATACCAAGAGAAGTGAAGGGTAAAGTGTACACCTAAATCGCAAGATAAAAAAGTAATATTAACAATAAACTAATAAATGCATGATATTTTTTTGCATATAAACTTTATCATGTAATTAAAACCTGGTTAATTAATATATATTTTCTTCTAATGAAATCACTTTACAATGATAAGTTGATATGATTTAATGTAAATATCCGAATAAATATTTACCCGTAATTATACATGTCTATTATTGAAGAAGTGGTGCAATAAGATACAACTTTCTGTAGCTCGAATTGGGTGAAGATTGTGTTTCAAGCTAGCGTACTGCTTTGAGTCGACTCCATTGCCTTAAAGAGGAAACAATATGATCGGATTGAGACTGGGGAAATGTTAATCCAAACAATAGATTGATGTAATGCCATAAAGTTGCCTAATTTTGTCGTGTGCCCTACTTTCAAAAGACGTATATAGGTGTGGCCGTCTCGTTCAGGGGCAAACTTCATCAATAACCAATTTTAAACACGATCTTTAAAATATATTCATAATTTATAATATATTTAAAGATTAGTCAATTCACCTAAATTTTAGGACTAAGTATTCTGAATGGATTTAATGTCCTGAATTTTTGAGCTGCTAATTTGAAATTCAGGTCTGTGTCCTGAATTTCTGAACTACTAATTTAAATTCAGGACATAAAATTTAAACTTTTGCACACAATTTTTGAACTTTAGGACATGATGTCCTGAAATTTAAAATTTGAGGTTTAAACTCAAGGACTCCGTGTCCTGAAGTTTGAGCAAAATTGGATAATTTTAAATACATTATAAACTGTGAATATATTTTAAACAACATCCTTAAAAGTGACTACTTGGTGTCATTTTCACTTTTTCAGGTGACTAATATAGTACCAATATAGGCATTGTTGAATGTGGGCTATAGCTCAATGATTTGTCATGGGCAAAATACAAAACTGGCCGATCGGCTTAAATTAATTGTATTTGCTAGCCAAAAAATATATATAAACAATATATTTATATATGTATAATACACATATATACAAAAAGTATATATTTTTTGGCTGTTATTTTTGGAAGTTGCTAAAAGTATATATTTATCAATTTGTCACTACTACGTCCTGCTTAGCAGCGGTTGCTGACTTGTAGTTTATTAACGTATTGTGCCATCTAGGGGTGTCAATGGATATTTAAAAACCGACTAAACCGACCGAACCGTACCGCACCGAATCAATTTTTAGGTTTCTTTTAATAAAATCGTAGGTTTTTATATAAATCTACAACCGTACCGATAATTAGGGTAGGTTTTTTATTTTATAAAAATAAACCGAAAAAATACCGAACCGTACCGAATAAATTTACATGTGAAAAATATATTTATATACTAAGTTTAAAAATAATAAATCATTAAATATTTCCTTAACCTTTGAAATTATAAAAATGATTACAAGCCAACAAGTAATTAAAATCAAAACCCTAATTCCCAAACCTATTATGTTACTCCTACTGAAACTAAATTATTTCCAGCATATTCACTAGCAAGACACAAAGTATTCTAGCGATTATGAGTAGCAAACTACAATGTATTGAATATGTTTCCTTTTGTATGATTTAGATTTATCTTTGTGAATATTTAATCTTCTATACACTTTATTCTTCAGTCCCAACTTGGTTAATATTTTACTACTTATGTGATTTATTTTTTCTTTATCTTTGCTTAGTTTCTTTTACGTTGTTGTAAAGTAGTTGATGAATCTATAATATGACGATCTTTCATATTTTCTTAATTCATCATTTAAACAGTAGAATTGTCTAGAGTGTTGTGTTAAGTACAATAAAAGTATGTATGTTATTGCATTTTACTTTTACAGACTTTTACATGACATTTTAAAAAATACCGAAAATTAACCGAACCGTACCGATACCGAAGAGAAACCGACATGATTGGGACGGTTTCAAAAAATTTAATTTTGGTTATACATAATATATAGAATAACCGAAAAATTGGTATGATACAAATTTTATAAAATAATCGGCAGAGCTGAACCATTGACACTCGTGGTGCCATCGATATATACGAGTTGGGCCTATCTACGAATTAACATGGACTGATGGACTCTTTTACTAATACATATGAATTCTATATCTTCCGGTTATAGCTATACCTGGTCTTAGAGAATAGAGAGAACTAAAATGAAACTACTTTGGAGCTTCCTTTGGATGTATTATCAAATTACAATATGTGATCGACCGATCGTTATTCAGATCATAGCCACTTTCAAGAGAACAAATTACAAGAAACGTGTGTAATTAAGACAAAGTAAAAACAATGACCAAAAATGCAAGCAAATTAAACAAGAAAGAGATGGCTAACACCACTCATGAATCTACTTAGACACTTCAAGAGTACTTGTAGGCATCTCCAATGGGAAATTTGTTGTTTCATTATGAGCACTTCCATAAGGACAGAACATAACCTTATAATCTGTAGTCCAACTTGTGCAAGTAAATGTACTTGTTGGATCATCTTGAGGATAACTATAGGCATCTGGACATCTTTGTTTGAACCATCTTGATAACTCTGTAGGACCACATGGTCCTTGTGTGCAACAATATTGTTGTCCTCCAAATGTTGTACATGGGTTGTTACATCCTCCAGGTACCCTAAGTGAACCAGGGCATTCACCATTTATGTTGGCTGTGCATTGAATTCCGTGACATTTTCCAGGACCAGGCTTAGTCGGGCCAAAAGACATAGGAATGTTAAATCCATCAATTACAGAGATGTCCCAGAAATCTAAGTTGCTGAATTGGTTCAACGCGTATTCGGCTAAAGTGTTTGGTGGTTTACCCCACCCTTTGCATTCTAAGACTCCACCACAATCACCGGTTTGGCACCAACCTCTACCCGCACCATCAAAGTTGCAATTAGTACGACCCCATATACGTGCCATTTTAGTACCAGGTGGCGCCCAAAACCACCAGCTTTGACCTCGCTCGAGACGCCGGCCACCCCCTACAGGGGTTGCCGCCGCCCAGACGGTGTAGGGGCAGTTGTTATGGACTTCAAATACGCCGGAAGCATAAGTATAAGTCACAAAGGCAAGGAGGAAGAACACTAAACAAGTTGTCAAGTGACTCATTTTAGTGGACATTTTAGTAAGAAGATTGGTTGTTGGATGTATATATTGACATTTGAGTTAAGGGGGTTTATATAGTGGTATGGCGGCTTTTTGCACTGTGGACATTAATATTTTGGCACTTGATATATTATTATTATTATTATATTAATATAGGAATAATCATGAAAGATGCTTTGGTAAAGGTAGAGCTAGGCGGCTAAATGTGAAGGCCTGACAAGTGATAATTTATTATGCACACACATATATAGAAGCTAAATAATTTATTTGGTGATAATGATCACGAGCAAACTTTGTCACGCTAATATGTCCACTTGAAATAATACGCCACCGATAATATCCACTATAAAACATGGACTGAACTAGAAATTCGGGTTGAGCCCAATAGCTTTTGTTCAAATAATATATTTATGTTAAGTGTTTTATTAAGTATGTACAAATATTAAATTTAGAATACAGTTATAATTATAAGCACTTGGAAACGTTGTTTTAAGATTCAAAACCAATATAATTAAAATACTTGCTCCGCTCCGTAAAACAAGATATACAGCCTTCAAGCAATACATTTTGTTCAGTCGGGTCATATTCCACTATTTTTCACTACTTTTACTTCACGTTTTTTACAAGCTATTTATCCAGTACATCCTTTGAACTGAAATCATAATTATTTACCTGCAATTATTACTATAGGTATCCCTAGCTACTTAATTTCATTTAAAATTAGCTATAACTAGCACTAGTTTATGGAATTTGGAGATGATTGTGCGCACAAGCTAGCTTTGTGGAATTTGGAGACGAGCTTTGCAGCCGGTTTCAATCTTTCGACTACATTTGCTATTGGAGTCACTGAGTAAAATACTTATTTTCAGTCGGCTGTGTTTACACTAAATTTATGAATGCATGCCATTAGTCTTCACACACACATATATAATATATAGCTTAATAACCCTGGTTAAATGATACAATATATTATCAGTTTAATGAATAAATATTTGCCTAATTATTACCCACTCTGCATTACCAAGTCTTCATAAATGAAAGATTTATAATCAAGAAATTAGATCAAGAATTCTAACATATATCAAGTGGATTAACTAATAGAAAACGTATATGCATCTACAGTTAAAAAAAGGTTAAGCAAATGGGGTGGGTTGGATCTTCAACGTTGTGCAATTCGGAATTCCCCAATTTATTGACCATTTACAGATCAAGTTCACATATTAGTTAGTCTGATTTTGACTTAACGTTTGTTACAATTCTCTTTTTCATTTTTAAGGAAAAAAAAGTTCTGCATCCGATAATTGGAGATCAATATGTAATACAAGTTAGCTTCTATGTTCATAATAATTGTCAGGCTCTTACGAATAGCCGCCAGGCATCTTTCAAGATTATTCCTTTATTAATATAATATATCAAGTGCCAATATATATATGATTATTGTCTATAGTGCAAAAAGCCGCCACACCCCTATATAAACCCCCTTAACTCAAATGTCAATATATCAACACCAATTTTCTTACTAAAAAGTCCACTAAAATGAGTCACTTGACAACTTTTTTAGTGTTCTTCCTCCTTGCCTTTGTGACTTATACTTATGCTTCCGGCGTATTTGAAGTCCATAACAATTGCCCATACACCGTCTGGGCAGCGGCAACCCCTGTAGGCGGTGGCCGACGTCTCGAACGAGGTCAAAGTTGGTGGTTCTGGGCACCACCTGGTACTAAAATGGCACGTATATGGGGTCGTACTAATTGCAACTTTGATGGTGCTGGTAGAGGTTGGTGCCAAACCGGTGATTGTGGTGGAGTCTTAGAATGCAAAGGATGGGGTAAACCACCAAATACCTTAGCCGAATACGCGTTGAACCAATTCAGCAACTTAGATTTCTGGGACATCTCTGTAATTGATGGATTTAACATTCCTATGTCTTTTGGCCCGACTAAGCCTGGTCCTGGAAAATGTCACGGAATTCAATGCACAGCCAACATAAATGGTGAATGCCCTGGTTCACTTAGGGTACCTGGAGGATGTAACAACCCATGTACAACATTTGGAGGACAACAATATTGTTGCACACAAGGACCATGTGGTCCTACTGAGTTATCAAGATGGTTCAAACAAAGATGTCCTGACGCCTATAGTTATCCTCAAGATGATCCAACAAGTACATTTACTTGCACAAGTTGGACTACAGATTATAAGGTTATGTTCTGTCCTTATGGAAGTGCTCACAATGAAACAACAAATTTCCCATTGGAGATGCCTACAAGTACTCATGAAGTGGCCAAGTAGATTCATGAGTGGAGTTAGCCAACACTTTCTTTGTTTAGTTTGCTTGAAGATGGTCATTGTCTTTAATTTGTCTTAGTTACACGCATTTCTTGTAATTTGTTTTCTTGAAGTGGCTATGATCTGAATAACGATCGATCGATCACATATATTGTACTTTTTCTTACCCATGATGTTTTCATTCTTCAATCAAGAGTGCATTTGGATTATCGTGTCATTTTTTTTTCTTTTAAATTGTTATTATTAAAGTCTTAAATCTTATACCAAAAAAAGAAATGAAAAAAAATAGTCTTGATAACATTCTAGAGTGCCCAGATCCGAAAATTTAAAATGGTAGGGCCAAGATTAAGATAAACTATTAGTAGCTCGTTAAAGGTAGTCAAAACATGGAAATCATTCTTTATAGGCGGCTTTTAAAACATTTTCAAGTACATCATTGTATCTCGGTATTTTTTACGCTAAATATATATATATTGTAAAGATGTCATGTGTTCAAATTGAGACGCTTAAATTAAAATCTTGGATCCTTCTCGGCTTTATTGAATAATGATGCATACTACATGACTTATATGCGACTACTCCTGACAATAATAAGCAAAATCGTTGACATAGGGGTAAAAGATTATTAGTAGTATAACATTTATCTACTGATTCTCATTCTTGAGTATTACTTTATTTATATTTTGGAAGTGACAGTTCAATAATTAAAGAGATATTCAAACAGTAGTTTCACCGTTCCAAGTTGTTGTCTTCTTCAAATGCTGTCCAGTTGGACGTATTGATCTCTTATAATTACGATTATTACTTCGTTAATTATTTTCAAATTATCTTTAGAAAAAAATTGCTCTTTCGGACTAATAGTCTAGTGGCTTTCGATGTTTAATCATTGATAGCACTTGGTTAAGAGGCCCTTTTTTCTCCCAAGTCCCACCATGGCACCATTAATAACATAAATCAAGTGGATAATTAATAGAAAAAATATGGCAAGTGCATAATTAATAGAAAACATATGCTTACCTAGTGTCAAAAAGTTAAGAAAATGGGGTACGTCGGGATATAGGTAATGTCACGACCCAAAATCCCAACCTGTCGTGATGGTGCCTATCTCGATATTAGGCAAGCCGAAAATCTTAATAACCAAAACTTCTCTTTAAGGTTGAAAATATAATATTTAAATACAATACAAACACTTCCCAAAACCTTGTGTCACTAAGTACATGAGCATCTAATGTGAATACAAGTCTGAAAAATATAGTTTATAATAGTCTGAGACCAAATACAGTAAACAAAGAGATAGAGAAAGAGAGACAAGGTCTGCGGAACACGGCAACTACCTTAAAATCTCCTGAAAATCAACCGTGCAAAAGGATCAACACCCGCTATGTCCGGGAACACCTGGATCTGCACACGAAGTGTAGGGTGTAGTATGAGTACAACCAACTCAGCAAGTAACAATAATAAATAAGGAACTGAAGATAGTAACGAGCTACACAGTTATAGTTCATTTCCAGTAATTCCACCAAAGAATAGACATGCTATCAAATCTGGCAGTTTAATGTCAAATCAATTTTTATACAGTTCCTGTTCATGTAATCCGTATATCAACAATTTTTCAGAGATTTCAAAACAATGACAGATAGCAACTAAGTGCAACAACAAATGGAAATCAAGTACAATTTCTTAGGACAACAATCACTCCCTAGGCTCCCAGCCCTCATCACTCACTCTCAATGGGTACCCGCGCTCACTGGGGTGTACAAATTCTGGAGGGGCTCCTACAACCCAAGCGCTATAATCTACACGGACAACTCACGTGCTGTAATATAAATATCTGGATCCGCACGGCCAACTCACGTGCTGCACGGCCAACTCAAGTGCTATAGTATAATATAAGGATCCGCACGACCAACTCACGTGCTGCACGACCAACTCACATGCTATAGTATAATATAAGGATCTGCACAGCCAACTCACGTGCTGCACGGACAACTCACGTGCTGCACGGACAACTCACGTACTATGATATCAATATCTCATAATCAGGCCCTCGGCCTCTCTCAGTCATAAATCTCTCCAGTCTCTCGGGCTCTCATTAATCATGAAATCACCCAAACAACAATGATATGATATATCAATAATAATAACAGAGACTGAGATAAAATGTGCAAGGAAAAAACTGAGGCTGAGTACATATAGCATTTAGCAGGCAATTCAACAAGTACGCAACCTCTTTGGGTCCCAACAGTACTATCACATAGTCTAAGCATAATTTCTAACATGATTTACAATTAAATTTTTGTCAACACATAGAGAGCATATAAATAACAATGAATTATTCAACTTTACAATTTCCCGGAACGGACCAAGTCATAATTTCCTCAGTGTACGCCCACACGCCCGTTACCTAGCATGTGCGTCACCTCCAAAATAATCACATGATACCAAAATCCGGGGTTTAATAACCTCAGGACCAAATTTAGAACTGTTATTTACCTCAAAATATGAAACTCTTTACTCTGCTATGCCTTTGCCTCGTAAATCGGCATTCGAATGCCTCGAATCTAGTCACAACTAGTTCGTTTCAGTCAATAAAATTTATTGGAATTAATTCCAAAAGAAAATACTAAGTTTTCATAAAAATCCGAAAGTTTAGCTCAAAAATCGCCCGTGGGACCCACATCTCGGAACCCGACAAAAGTTACAAAATCCGAAAACCCATTCAACCACGAGTCTACCCATACCAATTTTACCAAAATCCGACCTCAACTCGACCCTCAAATCTACAAATCTTATTTCCAAATTTCTAAGTTCCAATCTCCGATTTACACCTCAAAATCATGTAATCTAGTCGGATTATTCGATGATAATTTAATATTATGGAGTAGAAATGATCACAAGGGACTTATCTCAAGTTTTCCCGTGAAAACCTTGCTCAAAATCGCCCAACCCGAGCTTGAAATGTCCAAAAATGACAAAAGCTCGGAACCCCTATGTTTTTGTACTGTCTAGGGATTTTCGCATCTGCGGCAACTTGGCCGCTTCTGCGCCAACCGCACGTGCGGAAAAAGTCTCGCATCTGCGCCTTTGCCCGCATCTGCGCGCCTATTTGCGCTCCTGCGCAAGCCGCTTCTGCGTGCGCCCCTTCGCTTCTGCGCTCACGCAGGTGCGGAATTTTCCTCGCTCCCGCGACCACTGCCTCACAGTCCATTTGCGCATCTGCGCTTTCCAGGTTCGCTTCTGCGAGCTTGCACCTGTGATAGAATTTTCGCAGGTGTGATTGCAGCAGAGGGCAGAAACTTCAGCTATTTCTTCTAAGTCTGAATTTGATGTGTTAACCATCCGAAACTCACTTGAGGCCCCCGGGACCTAAACCAAATGTACCAACAAGTCCTAAAACATCATACGAATTTAGTCGAATCCTCAAATCACCTCAAACAACGCTAAAACCATGAATTACGCCCCAATTCAAGCCTATTGAACTTTGAAATTTCTAATTTCTACAAATAACGCCGAAACCTATCAAATCACGTCCGATTGACCTCAAATTTTGCACACAAGTCATAAATGACATAACATACCTATTAAAATTTTCAGAATCGGATTTCGACCCCGATATCAAAAAGTCAACCCCTCGGTCAAAATTCCCAAAAATTCAACTTTCGGCATTTCAAGTCTAATTCCTCTACGGACCTCCAAAAATTCTTCCAGACACACTCCTATGTCCGAAATCACCATACACAGCTATTGGAATTATCAAAATTCGAATCCGAGGTTGTTTACACATAGGTCCATATCCGGTCCACTTTTCTAACTTAATTTTTTTTCAATTATGAGACTAAGTGTCTCATTTCACTCCGAATTCCTTCCGGATCCGAATCAACTAACCCGATAAGTCATAAATCAATAGCAAGGCATAAATTGAGCAGTAAATGAGGAAATGAGGTTATAATATTCAAAACGACCGGCCGGGTCGTTACAGATAAGTGGGGTCTTTTACGTTGCTTTCGTTAATTTATTATCGATTTGCGATATTGTCAAAAGATTAATATTTTCCGACGTAATTTTGTTGATTTATCCTAATACAAGGTTAAGTCATTTCATTCCATCAATTTCTGTTAGGCTCAAATCAATCATTAGTTCAGAGGCAAATCAATTTTTTTTGGGACATATTTTTAGATTAATTTCTGTCCTAATATATAGGAGTGGTACCGTATTTTTTAAAGCCTTTGTCGTATGATGAAAATGGTTTGGATGTTTCAACATACACCTTTTCCTATAGTTGCAGGCTCATGTCTCAATTTTCTATGTGCAAATATAAAGATTAGTTTTTCTTTTAGAGATTTCCTTTCTCTAATACCATGTTTTATGACGATTAACAACGTAGTTTAATTGAACATTGAATTTAAGAAAGAATGAAAGCTTTAAGGAGCTTGTAATCTTAAATATATTATAGTTATAAAATCACGTCCTTAAAGTAAAAAGTAAAATTAAAAGTTTGAATTATTTTTGAATATAAAAAGATAGGAGGCATTAATAATATCTTTCCCTTTACGTCAAAGAACTTGCTTATTTGCAGGAGGAATTGCATAGAAGTCAGGTAGCATGTGCAGAATAATTCAATTACGTACTTGAAAATGTTTCTAAAAGCCGCCTATAAATAAATATTTTCATCTATTGACTCATGACCTGAATTTAATGAGCTCCAAATAGTTTATCTTATCCTATCGTTTTATATTTTCAGTCTGGGTCCAACTCTAGAATATTATCAATACTTTTTTTGTTTGTTTATTGCTCTAAGGTTTAAGACTTCACTAAAACTTCAAAAGAAAAACATAAAAACGATTATTGGTCTGAGGTTTAAGACTTCACTAAAACTTCAAAAGAAAAACATAAAAACGATTATTGGTCTGAGGTTTAAGACTTCACTAAAACTTCAAAAGAAAAACATAAAAACGATAATCCAAATGCATTCTTGATCTATATAACATCTAGACAAAAGTACATGTGACTCTTATTCATGTCTTATGTTTATTACAGCAAAGATCATCTCTTGACCACTTCAACCAAAATAAACAAAGTGTGTAAACTATAAAAGCGAGACAAAATAAATTGTCCCACACTAACGCTTTCACGCAATAATTCGACCAAAGATGATCTTATTAGAGGAATGACCGTTCTACTTAGCCACTTCATCACTTCCAGGCATTTCCAAGGGGA